GAAATACCTCTCTTTTTGTTGGAGCTTCATTTATAGCTACAGGGTGGGGGTGGGGGGGAGAGGGGCAGAGGGAAGAGGAGGAGGTATTCCAGGGCAGAGGGACTTATTGAGCTCCTGGTGTGCTCGGTCACAGAGTCCTGAGGTGTCCACCCTGGGAGTGGCCACCCTGTTCTACCTTCCCCGATATCAGGGGTGTGGCTATGGGATGTGCGAGTGCTTTCGAATTTTGGTCATGTGTCCTTTCTATTTTTTCTACAATGTGCATGTTTTACCTGTGAAATTAAAAAAAAGAAGTATTTTATATTGTTACTCAACATGGATTGGAAATGATTGTGGAATATATGCTGAGACGAAAACCTCCTTTACCATTATTTTCCAGGGAAAATTCTTCAAAGGAGATGGACAATGACGAGCATGCATTCCAGGATCAGAAATCTATGTCCCTTGTGTGGGGAGTGACCCAAAGAGACTGCACTAACTGGATCACTGGAGACGAGCTGTTTTATTTGCTTTTCATGCCTGTGATCAGAAAGCAGCAAACGTTTACCAAGAACTGAGGCTTCCATAACAGTTACACCAGATGCACCCACAACAGGGGTGTTCGTGTATATTTTCAAAACGGAATTTTCTCTCCCTTTGAATCAATGAGCTTGGGATAGGAAATTTCTCTTCCTTATAAGTTACATGAATGACTGAAATATATTTTTCCATTTGGAGGAAACAATATCTACCAAGCAGCAAACCGGCAAAATTGCTTTACTATGGCATGTTTTGATGGAGAGGAATTTGGAAAAAAATCTAAATATAGCAGATGTACTCGATTTGAAACTCGAGCACCATATTAAGCCTTCCTCTGCAGTTAACTAAAATTGATCTCTCTAACAAGAGCTAAAAATAGCAGGTGGAAAACAGGGAACAGACAATGACTTTTCATATCTCTCCCCCAGGCCTTTCCAGTGACAATGGACGTGACCTTCGGGAGCCATCCTAGAGAGCAGAACAAGGGCTGGCATTTCACATCCCACCTCCCGCCTACCACCCGCTCGCTGCAGCGACAGCTCTATTTTGCCATTTTTGCTGATTGGTGTAGATAAGCTTCTTTTGCTGGGCTGGGTTTTCGTTTTCCATATTTTGTTTTACATTCAAAAAGAACACAGCACTAGACTCTCTCTGGGGTCAGGAACAATGGGTATTAGACAATAAACCAAAAGAAGTATTCGATCCACTCTCCCACTGGTCAAAGTCCATCTTATTTTGCCCAGGTCATTGTTAAATGACTGGCTTCTCTAAATTCCCCAGGGGGACTAATACCAATGCAGAAAGCTTCTGTTTTATAGAGGTGATGGCTGTCCTTTCTACAGAGCAGAAGAAGGCAAATTCTGATCCCTGTGTCCCTCTGTACAAGAGATGAAAACAGCCAGCGGGTGCAGTGGGTGTGTTTTTTTGAGGGGGCGAGACGGGAGGCAGTAAGCAGAGCACTGAAATGTGGAGGAACCAAGCGTGTAAACTTTTTTGTATTTTTAAAATTTCCTTTGCCAACAATCTTGACTTTCTTCTGGAGAAATTAATTTTACTCTTCAAGAGATCTCTCTGGTTTCTCAAAACTGTTTACTCTCCAGGGCCGGGGTAGTGTCTTGATCAATCCTTTCTGCTGCTTGCCAGTGGCAGAGGAACATGTTTTAACCTACCAGCTGTGCAGCCTCGGGCAAGTTACTCAACCACTCTGTGCCTCATATTCCCCAGCTGAATAAATGAGGCAAATAACAATGCTTGTCTCATAGAGTTGCAGTGAGCATTAAATGCAATAATGTGTTTAGAACAGGGCCTGACACCCAGCAAGCCCTCTATAGAAGTTTTAGTCATTGTTGCTATTTATTTTTTTTCCCTAATTCCTCTATGTTTATTTACTTCCTGGATCAAAAACAGAACATGCAGTCATGGGGACACTGATTAAGAACGTTTCAAACTATGTTCTTATATTTCCCAGAATGCAAACTTGTCCTCTCTGTGTTAAACAGAACTCGGATGCCTCGTCAGTGTTAGGTGGCCCCAGTCTCATGTTGTAACATTCCGTGAAGGGTTTCAAAGGCACCCACAGGTTTGGGTGGATAAGGACTCCTTGGAGATTGCACTGTCCTCTCCATACTTGTTTTGAGAGCCTCGCTAGAAGTTGTGGGGTGGGCAGTTAGACAGACAGGAGCAGAGCAAGGGTGATGGGCCAGGCACAGAAGGTCTCCAGGGTGGAAAGCCCCAGGTGCCCAGCAAAGGATAGTCACCTCCAGAGTGACCTTTCCTCCCCGAGCATATCGCTGGTCACGAGGTTTGGACCCCCTGACCTTTCCTCCCTAGAGATAACATCTAGGCCTCAGTTATATTTCAGCTCCAGACCCAGAAAAGCAACAAAACCAGGTAAGTGACCCCACAGCTGACCTCAGGATCAGCTACACTGTATAATGACCCCCTGGCCTGGTGCCGACCAATCAATCAGTGGAGACCTAGACCCTGAAAGGACACACTGCAAAGCCGCTGAATATTCTAGCGCAGTGATGGCGAACCTTTTGAGCTTGGCTTGTCAGCATTTTGAAAAACCCTAACTTAACTCTGGTGCCGTGTCACATATAGAAATTTTTTGATATTTGCAACCATAGTAAAACAAAGACTTATATTTTTGATATTTATTTTATATATTTAAATGCCATTTAACAAAGAAAAATCAACCAAAACAATGAGTTCGTGTGTCACCTCTGACACGCGTGTCATAGGTTCACCATCGCTGTTCTAGTGAGATCTTCCCCTGGGACCGCCCTTAAAATCTCCAAAATTAAAACCCTTAGGACTGAGGACCCAGAGCGCTCTTCCTCCATGGAGCACACAGGAGCCTTTCCCTTCTCTCTCTCTCCCCGCACTTCCTCACTCCCTTTGCCTCTATACTTATATCCTAAATCCATATTTCACTTCCTTTGCCTCTATACCTGTTTCCTAAGTCCATTTCTTCTGGAGTTACTTCTACCTCTGTGATTTTATAAATAAATATTCTCTCATAGATTGAGTCTTGGCTCTGAATTCTTTCTTAGCCTGAACTCAAGTACCAAGGTTGCTGAACCCAGGTCCAGTCTGACCTCACGGTCTCAAGCCTGGTGCCCCTTCAGCTGCCTACCACAGTTCCAGGAAATTCTGGACCAGGGTCACCAGAGTTCCTTCCTTAAAGAATAGGGGCGCAGTCTTGCCCCTGCTTGTCGGAGCTGAGTCCTGTGTCCTCATCCTCACTTTTCTCCTCCATGAAACGGTCTTACGAATGCACGTCATTGCCTGCCTTGGGCAGCGTGACAAGTCACAGCTCCCACAAGCCAGCCGGTTTGCTGAAGTGATCCGGAGCGTGAGTGCCGTCTAGACCTGGATCCCAGCCCCAGGATGCTCTGTCTTCAGACTTACTTTTCATCAGGCCTACCAATTTAGCACTATTAGTCATTCCTCTGAAGCAGAAGCAAAACTCCACTCCTTCGATCATTTGAGTTGCTTTTCTCTGCTCTCATTCTAATTTGTTTCTGCATTCCTGGAACAGAGGTAGCCATCCCTTAACACGGAGTGAGTTATAACTTGTTACTGAAATGATTCTGCCAAAGGATTAAAAATGAATTTTACTAAATCATATTTTTTTAAAAAATGGAAACGCTAGAAGTCCTCTCGTTGAAGAAAACATTAATTTAGTGCTGCCTGGCTCAGTTTTGCTACAGCCGGAAGGAAGCAACACTTTGCCAGTGAAGAAACTATCTCTAGGCAGGCTAATCGCTCTGTCTATTCACTCATTCTATATTTATTGAGCACCTACTGTGTGCAAGGTGTCATCAGGCGCCAGGAATACCAAAATGAGTACAACAGACATTTTCCCCTCAAAAAGTAGGGAAGACAGTAAGTGAAATAATGGAAAATTACCATAAAGAAAAGTGAGCATTTGTGCAAAGTGCCATGAGGAGACTGAAGGAGCAAGTCCTCACGTTGGCCCCTCACAGGGGAGGGGACAGCAGAGATGTGGGTGGGGAGGATGCAGGGTGTGGCCCTGCTCTCTCATCATTGCAGCTAAAACAGCTGCCAGAGGCCCAGGCCTCTAATAGAACTCTGTGATGTTTTCAACTCCATTGCTGGACACAAATCATTCATCTGTGTCGGGTGAAGGAGCTTCAAGGACACAGGGAAAGGACAAATGGAAATGAAATGAAAAGAAATAGCCTTAGATTGCCTTCAAGGAGAGAAAGCTATGCCAGGGAATACATCCAAATTACAGCTGTTCTGTGGCCCCCGGGATCAGTCATCCTTAGAAAGCAGGAGGCCCGCCAGATTTGCTCTTGCACACGTAGTGCACAGGGCTTCATTTGCACACGTACCAGGCCCTGGGTTAGGCTTTCTGGAAGTGGCAGTGTTGTTACCAATGCCTGTCAATGCAGGGTCAGGATAAACGTTTTGCCCGTGTCAGAGCAGAGTAGGCCTAACGTCCCCCGAGGCAGCCAGTGTGCGTACTAGCCCCTGGGATCTGGCCAAGTGGGGAGTGAGAAGAGCTGAGTTTGACATTAGCCTCTGCCACCACCCAGCTGTGTCACTCGATGAGTTCGTTCACCTTTCTGCAGCTCAGTGTTCTGATCTATAAGGTGGGGATAGCCATCCTTCCTATCTCTGCTCACTGCTCAGCCGGGCACGTCAGAAGGTAGACAGTATGCTCAGCTGGGTAAGGAAAGGCGAGGCTCACTGCTTAGCAGCACAATTAATGCATTTATAACATTGTTGGTAGGTTATTCACAACTTTAGAAAGAACCTCCTTTTTCCTTCTACCCCTTAAGACCATTTTATTCTTCCTCCTGCCTCCTCCGTGCCAGGCTCTGGGGGTAGCCCTTCTGAGGTGGAATTCCCTCTCCACCCGTCCCTTCTGCCTCCATCACGCTAGTCCCAGGGAGTGCCCTCCAGACCTGGACTCAGCTCCGTTAGCCATGAGGGCGCCTGAGACTCACCCTGATCTTGTCTTTGCATCAGGCTTCGTGAACATGAACTGCATATGAATTTTCTGTCTTGTGCTGGATGAAAAATGATTTGATTTATTGAAATACCAGCTCCAAGTGAGTGGACAAGACGCCCCTGGGATCTGCTGGTCAGAAAGTCTGACTTGAGGCCTGGCTGGTGGGGCTCCGTTGGTTGAGTGTCATCCCATGTACCAACGGTCACCAGTGTGATTCGGTTTGATTCCTGGTCAGGGCACATGCCCGGATTTTGGGCTCCATCCTCAGTAGAGGGTGTGCAGGGGGCACCTGATTGATGTTTCTCTCTCTTCCTCTCTCTCTAAAAATCAATAAAAAAATATTCTTTTAAAAGAAAGTGGGACTTGACCTGGGGCTCCTTTGCAAAGAGAGACACAGGAAGAGCCTGTGGGGGAAGCCTTGTCATTGACAAGTCACTTCTTCCCCTCTCTGGGCCTCTGGGTCCCTCTTGTAAAATGCAAGTTGGCCGGGTGATTCCTATGTCCTCTAGCCAAGACCTCAGTGATTCTATGAAGACCTCCGTGTGTGGACATTCAAATCAACTGCACAAAGTGTTCAAATGTGTTCTTGTCTAAACCTATGCATGAGTCACACAGGCAGCTCCAAGGACCTCGGCTCTGATCGGTCCATTTTGGGGGTGTGCTCGCCTGCCTCTGCAGTGTCCTGAATCGCTGTGAGAAGCGGCTCCATGAGGCTTGACCTGGGCAGACTCAACATCTACACTTGACATTACATAGATGACAGGCAGGCCTCTCTTTGGATGGGGCGTGCATGATCTCAGGGTTCTGTATGCAGAAAGTCTGTACGTGAACTAGACTTTCCAGGGAATCCCATTTCACAGACACCTCCCTGATTATTACACCACTTCTTTCATCAGCCCGTCTCAGACACCCACGGCTTCTCACAGCGCCTCTCTGAGGGAAACCGATGGCCACGTTAAAGGCTCCAGAAGCGGAGTGACTTGATGGTGATTTCAAAGAAACCCCCAAGGGGCTTGCTCTGAGAGTCCCATAAATTTCAGGCCACACAGGGGACAGCCAGCAATTCTCTTGCAGGGAGTGCTTATTAATCAGATTAGCCTCATCCTAGTCTGAGGTCCTGTGGGTGACCCGCTCTTCCTGCTCTGCGTGGGAATTTTCTGGTTTCAGCACTGAGAGCTCCCAAGAACTCCTTGGTCCTGGGCACACCAGGATAGCAGGTCGCTCTAGGACCCACGTTTCTCAAAACTCAGTGTATGTGTGATGATTAAACCTGCCGATTTCTGGGGTGAGTGACTCTGGTCCAAATGTTTTCCTGACCACACCAAGGAATGCTGGTAAGAACTTATACATTTACCAGCCCTGACATTTGGCATTTGGCTACCAGTGGTGTTTGAGCTCATCCACACATCAGAATCACCTGGAAACTTTTAAAAAATACTAATACTTGGACTTGATCCAAATCAATGAAATGAGATTATCTTGGGGTACAGTAAGGGCTTTGGGATTATATTTTGAAAGCCCCCTATCCCACTGGGAGAACTACGGTAAGTGGAGCAGACGCAATGGCCATTGCCTCCCTCGGGATCCAGTGTCTAAAACCTCAGCTACCACCTGGTGGCAGCCCCTCCACCATGTCCTCTCCTGCTATAATACAGGAAACACACTTTGGAGTGCAAGATGGCAGTATCTGCTGAAATTGAAGACAATATTACTTCTAGGTATAAAACATAAAGAAACTTTCAGAAAAGTGGATAGGAGGTATGTACAAGAATGTTAATAGTAGATTCAATTGCAATGTCCATCAACCAGAGAATGGATGCATGAAGCGCGATGGTCTATTCACCCAACGGGATACCATACTGCAGTGAAAATGAGTGAATCCAAGAAACATATACCAACATTGGAACAAAGTGGCCATAAGACGTTTCTAAAGTGTGAGGCTACTGTGACCAACTTCTTGACTTGGAAGCTTTGCTTCGGCAGGCAGACTGTCTTGTACCTGAGGGTTCCTGGGCACACCTGTGACAGCAATAAAAAGGGCTGCACAGCAGAGAAGCCTCATGCCCACTGCTAGAGCTCAGGTTGCTTGTTCTGAGGAAATAACTTCATAATCCTGTAAGAATTAAGTAGCCTTTTCAATCTTAAACTATCTGCATTGCAATCAAGAAGTCACGTAGACATTTTAGAACTGGCTCCTGAGTTGCTCTTAAACAACTACACAGTCTGATGTTTCATCCTCATCCATCATCCATCATCCCTCCCACTGTCCACACAGAGCAATACATCCATTACAAATGCAGATGTGACCATGGGCCCGGGATCTCAAGGTGGTTCATCTTGTTTAGCTTTCCCAGGTTGCTGACACATGTATATATTTAAAAGGCCCACAGAGCTCACCTGGTCCAAGTTTGGCCACGGCGTAGAGGAGGTCGTAGTTGAGGACTGGTGTGGCATCGCTGATGGGCTGCCAGCCAACGGGAGGAGATGCAGGGGGTGAGATGAGAAACTGTTTGGCGGGCTGTGGTGGAGCCAAATGCAGTTTGTCTCCGTCTGTTTCTGGAGTCTGAACCTTTCAAACAGAGTAGAAATGAAGACACATGATTCACCATGGCTCAGAGGTGCCACACTGGTCTCACTTTTAGCTTAATAATTACTCCTTACCACACACCATGTGCTCAATCATCTTATCTCACCCTTAAAACAGCGGATCTCAACCTTTACTGTGCATCAGAATTACCGGGAAAGTTTACTAAAATATGCATTGCGGAGTCCTGGAGTTTCTGACTCAGTAGATCTGGGTGGGGCCCAAGGATTTCATTGCTAACACGTTCCCAGATGATGCTAATGAAGCTGGTCCCCACATCTTGCCTCCTTCCTTCTTCCTTTTAACTGAGGTGAAATTCACATAATATGAAATTAACCATTTTGAAGTAAACAATTCAGTGGCATTCAATATATTCCCAATGTTTGCAACCACCACTTCTATCTCTGGAAAAAAAAATCTTCATCACCACAGAGGAAAACCTAAACCTAGAATCAATAAACAGTTGCTGCCATTTTTATCTCCAGTCAGAGCGTGGCAAGCACCAATATGATTTCTACCTCTGTGGCTTTACCTATTTTGACCATTACGTATAAATGGAATAATGTGACCTTTTGTGCCTGGCTTCTTTCATTAAGCATAATGTTTTAAAAGTTCATCCGTGTGTAGCATGTATCACTATCTCATTCATTTTTATGGTTGAATAATATCCCACTGAATGAATAGACCACAGTTTGTTTACCTGTTCACTTAATGATGCACATTTGGGTTGTTCCTACTTTTTGGCTAATGCTGCTATGAACATATGTGTACATGCATTTATTTCAGACCAATTTTCAATATTTTTCTATATATACCTAGCAGAGGAATTGCTGGGTCAGATGGTAACTGTATGTTTAGCTTTTTGAAGAAACAAGTGGGGTTTTACAGATGGAGAGACTGAGGTTTCTACAAGTCATACATGTTATTAGCAGTGTGGGATTTGAGCATGGGTCTGAGGCCAAACTCTAAGTCCTTTTTTTTGTTTTTATTTTATTTTATTGTAAGAACAATTAACATGAGATCTAACCTCTTAATGAATTTCTAACTGGCTATTTTCAAAACACAAAAGACAACAAGTATTAGAAAGAAATCTTTATATGCTGTTGGTGATTCCTCAAAAAATTAAAAATAGAACCACAATATGATCCAGAAATTCTACTTCTGGGTATTTATCCGAAAGAATTAAAGTCAGGCTCTTGAAAAGATATTAGCGCTCCCCATGTTGATTGCCACACTATTCACAATAGCCAAGACATGGAAACCACATAAATGTCCTTTGATAGATGAATGGAGAAAGGAAATGTGGCATATACATAACACGAAATACTCTTCAGCCCTGAAAAAGAAGCGAAGTATGTTCTTTTCACGGTAACATCTTTGTAGAGTCCAATTTTGGAAACAATGTTTACTGACCAATAAGAGATAGATAAAGATTATCTACTGATGGAACATGATGGACATTGGTTTTGTATTGCGAGGACACTGTGTGCATTGCCAAGAATTACCCATCTATTTTTGGAAGAGTCAGAATTTACTTTGGGTTAAATAAAACACAAAATTAATTCCCATATGTTTGTAAACTTTTATTATGAATGTGAATCACTGAAAAGGTATATAGTCCACTAAAACAGTCATATAACTTAAGTTTTAAATATAATCTTGCCAGGAAGGTTAGGAGTAGTTGTGATTAGAGCATTCTTTACAACTATTACTTGGCATTTATTATGCATTTACCAAATTTTAGGCACTTCTATACCCAATAATTCATTTAATTCTATAATAGCACTATGGGTATATATCATCACCTCCACTTATAGCTGAGGAAACGGAGACCCAGTCAAGTTATGTAACTTATGCAGGTTGAAGCCCAGCTGTCAGTCCTCAGAGCCCGCTTCTGAACCTCTATGCCAGGGGTCCTCAAACTACGGCCCGCAGGCCACATGCAAATACAAATATTGTATTTGTTCCCATTTTGTTTTTTTACTTCAAAATAAGATATGTGCAGTGTGCATAGGAATTTGTTCATAGTTTTTTTTTTAAACTATAGTCCGGCCCTCCAACGGTCTGAGGGACAGCTGTTTAAAAAGTTTGAGGACCCCTGCTATGCTGCCCTGTGACACAGGTTTAGTTCTCAGTGGACTAAGTATAGACTGCAAACCAATGTGAAAATAGAAAAGAGCTCCATTTACATTTTGAAAAAGGCAGACAATAATGTAAGGCAAAAGGGTTACTTTTGGTAAGAATTACCTGTGCAAAGTAGAGTTTTAATTTTTTCCCTCTGAACTGGGTTTCATGAAGCTCTATCCTGGCTCGGGCTGCAGATTTGGGATTGCTGAAGTTTATTCGGACACGTCGGAAACTCTTAAATAGCTGGAACGTCACGCAGTCATCATAAGTCCTGAACAGACCCTCAAATTTTTCCTGATCGAAACAAGCACAGAGAAACATCCATTGGTCATGTATCTTCCATGATGCCTGAGCTGACAAAAACAAATAGCTAAGTAAATGAACAGGCTGTTCCCAGCATAAAATTCAAACAGATTACTGGCCATGTTGTTTTTGTTTGTTTTCATCTGTCAGTCTGTTACCAGGTGCTAAACACATCTGTGGATTCAGTCAAAGGATCCATAACCTGGCTCCAGGGATCCAGAGAATATAAGTGAATGGGGTTTATAGTGCATGAAAAACCTGAAAATTATGCAAAATATTCAGTAAGTTTCTGTGCACTTGTGTTTCTTCCTCGAGTGAGAGATCAGAGCTGCCCCAAGATTCTCAAAGAAGTCCATTATCTCCAAAATATTAGAGCTACTGAGTAAAGTAAGTGGCAGACATTGGTAGTGATTATTGATCTTGGTGGCATTTTTCTTGCCTTAAAGATATGGTAGCCCACACTCCCCAAAGCCTCCTAGTGCCATGTGATTAGCCCTGATCAATGAAATGTGTGCAGAAGGCAGGAAAAAAGCTCTTAAGAAGTTTTCCAGTCTCTGTCCTTGAAGATGGCATGTGCTCAGTAGTCAGAAGCAGACTCTCCTCAGCCTGGGTCCCTGAGTGTCTGTGTGGAGTACAAACATCTTTCTCCCCTCTCTCACTCCATCCTGTAGATGACTGCCTTGACAAGGAAAAAAAAAAAGGCCCTCTATTGCACTAAACCACTGAGATTTTGGGATAATTTTATTCCCACAGCATAACCAAGCTTATCACAATATACAGCAATCATTTAAGTTTTTTGATTCAATGCAATTTTCAATTCAATTGAACAAATCTCTATTAAATGCTCACTTTGTAAAATGCATGGTCTCTAGGAGAATACAGAGATGAGTATCATTTTGTTTCGACTCACAATGATCTAACAATCTAATGTGAGAGGCAGACACAGACACAAATAAGAGAATGCCCAAATGATTAGGAAAAGACTTAGAGAACTAAAAAATTTACATATTAATGCCATCTGTCTGGCTCCTCTTAGCTTTAAAAATATCCTTATTATAAGTAACAAAAACAGTGCAGGTTAAATTACTGTTTTTCCATTAGTGAGTGTTCTTAATGGAGAAATTGACACTAAAGAAATAACTTCTATTAAAAAAAATCCAGATTCTTGCCCAGCCAGTGTTGCTCAGTGGTTGAGCGTCGACTTATGAACCAGGAAGTCATAGTTCAATTCCTGGTCAGGGCATATGCCTGGGTTGCAGGCTCTATACCCAGTGTGGGGCATGCAGGAGGCAGCTGATCAATGATTTTCTCTCATCATTGATCTCTCTCTCTCTCTCTCTCTCTCTCTCTCTCTCTCCCTCCCTCCCTTCCTCCATCCCTGCCTTCTTCCCTCCCTCCCTCTCTCTTCCTCTCTGAAATTAATAAAAATATATTTTTAAAAATCCTGATTCTTTTATTTCTATAATAAAAGGTATATTGTCATAAGAGTGAGTATAAGTGGGAATAGAGATGCACAAAAGATTAATACTGTAAGATTCATTGAATTTTGATTTGAAACAGACCTAAGGGATAATTAACTCAACTTTTCCCTCCCCACCTCTATCAATTTACCAATCAGGACCCTGAGGTCTGAAGAGATCAAGACTTGCCCATGCTCACATGGCCAGTTAGTGGCAGAGCCATGACTGGTCAAAGTCCTTGTGACCCTGAATATAGAGATACTTTCAACTATGAAAAAATTACACTGCTAGATTGAAAGGAAGAGATAACTGCTTTAATGGGAACAAGAGCTGGACAGCAATACACTGACCCAAGGCTCATGCGTGACCTTGTCTAAGAGGAGCAACCATGTGGGGTTGTAAAATCACTGACTCTGAGGTTGCCACGTCAGAGAAGAACTTCTTGGGCATCCAAGACCTTGTCTCAGACCCTCAAGTCCCTGGCTTGTGATCCTTTCAAATGCTGTGGCCCATTTCTGAGATTCCCCAGGGCGTGGCAATCTATAATCCCCCCAGTTTTAATTCTTGAACCTGCACACTCTCTCTTTATATCATATCTATTCAGTCCAGAACCCCAAAGAATACACTCAAAACAAGTTTTTTTGTTTTGTTTGTCTGTTTCATGACATGCCTGGAATTTGAGGAGTTCTTTCTCCCCTTTTCAGGCTCTATTCTTATTCCCCTTTCCCTTTCAAGAGCAAAACAACATTCTTTCTCATCTGTTCCTTGGCAGTTTTTTTCCTCATCTCTCAGGCCTTCGGATCAGCCAACTCCCAGGACTGAGGCCTGAGCTACCACCCCAAGGGGGCTCATTAAGGAATCTTTCCCATAATCCTGTGTTTTCCTGAACAGAAATCCTGGGAATGCATTGCTTTCTGGTCCATAATAATGACAGTCTTCTCAACTGGTCAAACCATAGATGGTGGTTTGATTAATTTGGGGAATTTTTAAAAATGGAAGGAATTAATAGATTAAAAATACTTATTGCTATATAGAGAATCATCTTTTCTAGGACAAAATCCTTGGGTCATCCTGTGGCTCTATTTTTCCATTTCCAGTTTGGGAGTTCCCCCTCCCTATCCTACCCTAAGGTCTCAGCATCAACAGTAAGATTATGATAAGATGGAGGTGGGAGCAGGTGCTCATTTCCTTTGAGTCTAACTCACTGCTTTTCATTCTATATTTCTTCACAATGCCTCACATCTCAGTTGTTGAGCTGTTTGGCCTCAAGGGCTTGGCTGGATTAGGAGAAAGGAACCAAGGAGTCCTGGCCCTGGGCTCAGGGAGGGGTGACAATCAATGGCCCAGGTGCTGCCCCTGTTGGGAGGCCTTGGCAGATGTCAATATGGTTGCACTTCCTTCTCCACTGCTCCTCACCAAAGGCCTTCAGGCAGCTACTCCCATCAAGCCGGAGTTGGCAAATGACAGAAACCTCTTTGACATCCCTTGTCTGGGGCTTAGGCCCTTTCATCAAACCTGGTGTGCTGCCCAGAGCTCAGCAGCCAGGGTTTTCATTCGACCATCTGGGGCCCACCCTCTACAATGATAAAAATAATAGACAAATAGCATTTCCTTGACCTGTCCTCTCTGCACAAGTCTTTTGGGAATATGTAGGGACAAACGGCGGAGGGAGGGAGGAAGGGAGTGAAACCTGGCCAAGAATTAGGGACTTGCTGGCCATCTCTATTTTTTTCCATTAGTGACATGACAAACATTTCATTTGCTCAGGCAATATGATACCAGACCAAATTGGTTAGAGGCAGATCTAGTATAGTGAACCCGCCAGGCCCTTAGGCAAAACAGGGACGAGAACAAAGCCAGCCGCAGGGGTCCTCCAACTGCCCTTCTAGCACATCTTCTGTGGTTTTAATGTTCAAGTTCCCACCAGGCACACAGCCATATTTTGCTGTCCACTGGCTGCTAATTTCCTCCAGTCTGGTACTCCACAAACCCAATAAATTCCTCATTTCCTTCTTAGTTTCCTTTGTAGCCACTAGTTAAAATAAAGTTCTATAGCAGCGAGATCAAACTTTGGTCTCACGACCTTGCTATCCTCTTAAAAATTATGGGGGATCCCTAAAGGACTTTTGTAAATGTGGGTTTCATCTATCAATGTTTACTGCACTAGAAATTAAAATGGAGAAATTAAGAAATTTTTATTTATAAATCCATTATATGTTAAAATAATACTTTATAAAAAAAATTACCTTTTCCAAAACAAGAAAAAGGCAGTAAGAAGACTGGCATTGTTTTACCTTTTTGCAAATTTCTATAATTTATAACTTAGTAGAAGATACCTGGAATCTCAGGCCTGCTTCTCTGTATTTGATCAGTTAACACTGTGCTGCTTTGTCTCCAGGGTATGAAGAAGAGCTGGCCTCACTCAATTATGCAGTTGGAAAAGAGAGGAGGATTTTAATAGCCTTTCAATGAATTTCGAATATTCTTCCTTGATACATCATTAATTTAATATATTTTATTGATTTTTTACTGAGAGGAAGGGAGAGGATAGAGAGAAACATCATTAAAACTCGACAAGTGGCAGCTGCTTAATGGGTATTATAATGTTGACTCTGTTTTCTTTGATTATATTAAAATCCATTTATCCATTTTGCATCTTTAATGGATTTTTTTTACCTGCACATGTTCTGTAAGAGTGTGGATTGGTCATTCAGAAAATATTGGTTCCTGAGTTATGCAGCTTTTCCAAATGTCAACGCCTGTCATTGCACAATATCAAAAATGCCATTCATTAATATTACCGCCTGTCTTATCAAAGTTGTCAGAGTCGTGCTGGCAGATACAAATTTTCCAAAATTCTAGCTTTTGCTTGAAAGTTTATTCTTTATCATTGGCAACAACCACTGTTGGTTATTTTTCTTGAAGTAACATGCTCACTCATTCATTTTTGAGAAAATGGCTGCCAAATATCGAGGTCTGCATAACTGACATTTGCCTGTTAGTTATCTTTTCAAGTCAACAATTTGTTCCATGAGAAAAATACCTGCCCAATTCAGCTTCAGACAGCTCAAGCCAAGCATTGTGTTTTGGTTGCTACAGAGTGCTTTATGTGTACTCTCCATATTGTTATTCGGATTACTAAAAAGGCTCAAGGGTAGAGTTAATAAAATTATTAATTTGTACTGTTTCATCAAGGATGGTCTTATGAAAAACTGGTATTTTGCTTCTTACTTTTCTTTTCCTTTTTCTAAATTTTAAACCATGAGTGTGTGGCTGTGAAGAATACAAATACCACCAGTACAGTTTGGTGCCACTGCATTGATTCATACACTAAAGACAGTCACTTTTGCACCAGGGATGTGAATGTCAACACAGTTGAAAAGGAAATGTTTTAGTATTATTATGAAGATAATTTTGACCTCAAAGGAAATGGTCTTGGGAATTCCCGGAAGTCAGTAGACCACCTTCTGAGAACTGCTATGCAATAGATTATCAGAGAAAGTAAGAATTTGGTTGCACCCTGGGGTGAAG